ATAATGAATAGCGTAAACAATAATTATTAGTGAGCATCTTTATCATCCGTATCATCAATGTTCATCATCTATTCCGTAAGAGTTCCAAGGCCACTCGTGACCATGAGCACGACTGATATACTAATTTTACACTCTGCAGAGGTTGTACACTTTCACTATGAGTCATGATTTACCCTTTCGCCTGAGGGAGCTAATCTCTTGACCCACTTTCAAGGAAGGTCGGCAGGGTTCACTATGAAGTTTTTCAAAGGTTCGTCTAATAAGTTAGGGCCATTAGATTCACTCGGCAAACAGATGTAGAGCCCCCCTTCCCGATGGCACAATGACGCGCAACCAATACACAAGGAGATAGAGGCCGCACTATACCCGATTCGGGAAACCATTCTTACACCAATAAAGGTAACCACTAACAAGCTAGAAAAGGTCATCACACTGAGTTATAGCCAGAGCCATATAGCCCTTATAGCTGTACTGTAAGTCTAGGATGATCACTTACAGATAAGTCCTTAGGGAGAGGAATCTAGAGCACCAGAAAAAACAGCCCAATGCTCTAGCCCTCTGGTTCTATATTGCTAAAAACATCTTTTAATGTTTATTTCATATTCCATTAGTCAAGTTACAAGATCATGGCTTTAGTTGACCACTAGCATCATACTATCCAATGCAATAACCCATAGGTATCAAGGAACAAGGTACAAAGTACTACGAAATCCTTAGTGGTAATCAAGGTAGACACATACAACATGAATTAAATGATTAAAGGTGTATAGGACAACAAAGAAGATACCATGCTATACTTGCCTTAAACTCAGATCCTTCTTCAAGTCCAAAACTTCAAAGATCTGCTTCTTGATTCACCACGTATAGCTCACCGACAGGACATGTTCATAAAGCACCACACAAATATCCATGCAATAATACACAAGGCAAACAATAGAACTACATTAGAATAGTACACCAAACATATGAAACATCAAATGAAAAGGTTTTAAAGATGTTCTACATGTTACTACGAGCACACAGACGCGAAAAACAAGCTAATCGGAGCTATAACGAAATAGTTATGAATTAAACAAGATTTCCTTTAATAAAATAATAGATTAAATCTAACCTCAAATTTCAAAAGTTGAAAAAATATTTAACAGTAGGATGAACATGTAAATTACACAATTATGAATCTAACTCAACTTGAACTGATCAAATCAAACTTAAAAAGGAGATTTATGGCCTACCGAAGGTAGTGGTAATTTTGTAAATAGATAGAACTTGATTTTTGAATTTAAAATAATTAAAATCTGATTTTAAATCTGCCTAAGGACTGCGAGTACTATTTAAAGAAAAGGTAGGGGCTCTTTAGAAAAACGACAGGGACGGCGGGTTATATTATGTGAAACTGCAGGGGCTCTTTTGTAAATAAACCCACGCGAAGGGGTACGGTGGGATCTAAACTGTTAGATCTAACTTGGATGGCCTAGATTAGAAGAGGGGAGGGAAGACATGGCTGGCCGACTAGAACAAGGCCAAACGCGGTGGGACGCCATTGCCGACGGCGAGCGCTTCACTGGAGATCGTGAATATGGCCCTAAAGGCCATGGCTAGACCTAGGGGATACCACGGAAAGATAGAGGGTAGCGATCCGAACTCACCAAGGTGGATTTCGGTGGCACGGAGCGAACGGAGGCGGTGCACGGTGCTCGACAGCGGACGGCGAGACACGGCTAAGGTTACGTGGCGGCGCTACAGCTCTAGACGCGAGGTAGTGCGAGCTAGGGTTATGCGGGGGGCGGCGTGGCTTAGGAGCTCCAATTTAAGGGGGCAATTGGCATGGTGCGCACGGCAAGGCGCGGTGGTGTGGGCAGCGCGCACTCCTAGGCGGTGACACGGAGTCCCACCCGGTGATGTCGCGAGGAAGACGGTGAGGAAGGAGACAACACTGGCGGCTGGACCCGGGCTGTCAGCGACGGCGCACGGAGGCGGGGCACGTTCGAGCGTGGGCTACGAGGAAAGGAAACTAGGTCGTGGAGCGCTGGCGCTGCTGGGCCCGGCGGAATTGGAGAGCGGATCTGGGCCACGCGGGGAAGCAAGGCCGAGCAGGGTTGGGCCGACTGCGGGATGGGCTTCCAGTGGGGTGGAGCAGGCCAGGCCAAAACTGAGAGGAAAAGGAGGAGCAAGCAGAGCTGGGCCAGAAAATGAGAGAGGGAGAACTGGGCCACTTGGGCCAGAAATGAAAGAGGGAGAGTTCTCCAAATTCTCTTTCCTTTTGTTTCTATTTCAAAGCCATTTTCAAATCTATTTTCAAAAGCAATTTGAATTCATTCTGAATTTCACACAATACAATAAATCCAATGTAGAGGCATGAATGCTCCAATAATGTTTCTAAACTTTATGATAAATTTTAATTTAATGAAATTTTTCCCTATATTTCATGAGCACAAAATTCAAAATTAAATCTTTTTAGCTATATTTCAAAAGAAGCAAATTTTAGGATGTTACAGGTAAAGGACTAAAATACCATGTTACAATTTTTCAAAAATCATCACAAAAATCATGTATTTAGTACACCTAAAGTTAAGTATAGCTGCAATAATTCAGATTGAAATTCATCTTTGATGCTAAGATTTAAAAAGCAGAACCATTAATATTACATATTTAAGGATAAAAATAATAATTTGGCATTGATTTTATGATTTATCCATCTTGATCTATGTATGCACTTGATATTATAGATTTAATAATCATTGTGGTACACTTTTGACAATTACATGTGTGAGCACCTGATGCTCAAATGCTCTTGAACCCCAAAGCTGATCATTGTTGTTCATATGCTCATGTATTCTAAAATTTTCGTATCCTATTATGCATGCCACTTTGCTTCATGTAAGACCATTTGCATACTGCTCATACTTATATGTTTCATGGTTAGCTGGATTTACCCTAACTTTATCAACTATGCAATTATAGGCTGATAAGATTTTTCCACTCACATGTGGCATCACAACATGATCTTCCTTTTCTATTTCCTTTTGAACTGATTAGTTCACACATGTCGGGACATATTTGTTGATGCCTTATGACAGTCCATTCAAAGTTTTGAAGATTTTTTATTGCTATCTAGCACTAGTATGTCTTGTAATGTTGAAATTGCTACCTGACATGAACCTCAATCAAGATGACTTAAACTGATGTTGACACCCATACTATGAATGAATCCAGCATCCAGATTTCAAAACATGGATGAATGTGTGTCGAATTGGTGATTAGTTTGGCTTCCAATTCTGATTTTTTTCTATCATAATTTTCATGGTTCCTGAACAATACAGATAAATTCCAAATTGTTATTATGAATCTTCTTTAGTCACAATTATACTTTTTTATTTACCTTTTCAGATGTTTAAAGAAGCCATCAATGGGCTTGCTGATGCCGGATGATCTGTGATTGAAAGCGATCTCTCCAATTTATCAAATCTCTTTTGCTTAATGTGTTCATTTCTTAATTTCTTATGTAAGTTTCTCGAGGTTATAAAATTGGGAAATGACAATAATTATCAAACGCGCTCCTGCAGCATGATCTGTTTGTATGCATTTTTGTGATATCAAATGTTAGTGTTTGCTTTCAGCTTAGTTCAACAAACTTCAATGATGATCAGCTTTTGTCAGATGCCAGAAGTCACCATGTTGTTTTAAAGTCCACTGTAAATATCTTTGATCATGCTTCGTGGTTAGAGCTAATATTTTCATCAGTGTTATTTATTCTCTTTTGTTCTTTCTTAGGTTCTATGTGCAAATCCCAGGCGTTCTCCATCAAAGCACCCACCTCCAGCTACACTGCACTCTAAATATATTTGATCAGACATTTGTTTTTCAGGCTTGTTTTCCATGCAAATTGAGTTATTCTATGGTGCTTTCAAATTAAACTGCAAACCACTCATATTTTCCTTGTGGCCACAATAGGACGAAGGTCGACTGAGAGAAGCCTTGAACTTTGCCTTGTGAAGCTGTCTCTGACAGATGTGCTGCCTACTGGACCACGAATGCTTATGCCTTGATTAGTGTTGTACCTTGAAGCAGCGTGCCCTCTCAACTTGCTGTTTATAATAATGTATAAAGGTTTGGGCACATGTTTATATATCAGGCATGATTTTTTTACATACCACTTGGTGGGTATGTGTCTGAGCAACGACTGTGTGTGTGCTGATGTTGAAAAAAAACATTGTTGGCAAAAAAGTACGATTTTTTTATCGCCCTTTTGTGTGACACAAATAATTTAACAAATCTTATTTGGTGCCTTTCATCATAGAATAACGCCATTATCCCTACAGCCATGTATAGGAACAAACAAATATTGAGCCACAATAACTATAGTCACACTTTTCAATACCTTTGTTATCTAATCTTTTCTATATTTCTAACTACAAATTCATTTTTTTTGGTTTTCAGGAAATTAATTTCCCTTCATACCTAAATAGGATATCTATATTGCTTGTCAACAAATCCCGATCTACCTAGTCAGAAATTTTAAAAAGGGAAAGCTAGCTGGACAACAACCACGTCAGAATTTAATAAAAGAATAGAAAAACCGGTTGGATAACAATGACGTCAGATTTTTTTAAAAAGTAAAACCGGCAGAAAATAGATAGTATAGGCGCACGCTAGAAAAAACGGCCCGTGGTTCAAGGCGCGCGCTGTAGAATCAGGCAACTGGGCATCCGAGCGGGCGCAACCTAGAGGTCGGGTACTGAATATTATTTAGTACCCAGGTACCAACTATATATATATATATATATATATATATATATATATATATATATATATATATATATATATATATATATATATATAGCACAACACTACAAAATACGTCATAATGCGTATGCTTACTTTCTGCATTCATAGCTTAGAATGCTAGTTACCTCCTACATTGAATTAGACTCGAGTACAAGACGTATATATGTATAGAATTCAAATTCACCGAAACGAGATAATAATAATGCCACTACTAGCTACTCGGGTCTGTGTGATGCGGCATGTACAATTGCGTCGGCTATGATCTTGTAGGCTCTCTGTGATGGATGGACCGCATCAAAGAAGACGTATTTATCCGCATCCTCGCATGTGAGCGCATTGTCCAAGCTGCACAGCACTCCTGTCTCGAAGTATCCCGTGCCGCAGCATCCTCGCACTGAATTCTCAAAACCATACGCCCATGGCCTGGCCATCACGTCCGCCAAGTGACGGTAAATGTCGACGTACACCATGGCTCGGAGCCCGCGGTTGAACCTGCGCGCCACCATGTTGTGCAACCGGTTGCAGTCCCCGGGCGTGGCGAGGTTGACGGTCCGCTGCAGCGGCAGGCACCCCAGCGGCGGCAGCCCCGGGAGGCGGACCCGCCGCGCGCCGAGCGCGTACACGGCGCGCACCGCCGCCTCGGCCGCGCCGACGAGGTACGCCTCGTATTCCAGCAGGGTGAAGCGCCCGCGCCTGACGGGGAAGAGGAGGTAGTTGCCCAGGAAATCGCTGGCGCTGAAGAGGTAGAGTGAACGAGCGACGATGTGGTCTGCGGCGGCGCCGCCCAGCTCGCGCCGGAGCTTCTCTTTGTACTCCTTGAAGTGCTCTATCTGCTGAGTCAGGGTCACCGCCGACTGCATGCAGGAAATTGAAGTTACGTGATTTTTTATAATACTGTAATAATGGGGAAAACAACTAATTTGAATTGTATTGTTAAAAATTGGATTGGAAACTCACAAAGATTTTTAGAGCAAGTTCCCTAAATATTCCTTCTAAAAAGTCTATGTTTACCGAGTCCTAAAAATGTTTTAGGAGAAAAAAAGAAGTTCATGTCCAATAGTTCATAATATTTGACTTTAAAAAAATCAAATGTTGGTCCATTTGTTTTTTTTGCAGTCTTCTTTTTTTCCACGCGAACCTCTTCGTCGCCACGTGTATCCACACCGCCACCGCCTGCATCCATCATGTTGCCCTAGCCCAGCAGTCGACAACCAGACAAGCAGGCAACAGCGGCCGGCCACCAGGCAAGCAAACAGTAAGTGGCGGCTACAGAGGCTCGAGGGAAGGCGAGGAGCAGCGGAAGCTTTGTGTGTGTTGAGCCGAGACACCTGACGAGTGATTTGGGTGCTCAGTCTTTCACTGTCCTGTTATAGGCAGGCATGCCAAAGACATTGTACAGTGCCGCAGTGCGTGACTCCAGTGTCAGTGAGATCGATCATCTCTTTGCAAAGGCTGCACCTCATCCTTTTGACTGCTGACACGTGCTGGGGCGCCGCTATGAGCACACATGGTGGCGCCTGGCCCGTGAGGGCAAGCTGAGGAGAGGAGGCCACAGCCTTGGCCACAAGCGTGGTGTGGCGCCTGCTGAAAACAGGCAAAGCTGCAGAGGCTGGCCGGAGGCCGGCAGCCGCTGCGTTTCGACAGCGCAGCACATCGTCGCCGGCCGCGACGCCCACACAGGCTGCCCTGGCTTCGAGTGCTTGCCTTCCCATGCAGTATGCAGGGACAGACAGGGAAGGGTGGAGTATTTCCGCGCGTGGCTTCGTCGTAAAGTTACGCGGAAGGGGAAGAAATTTCCCATATCCTAAAAGATTAGAAGTAAATATTAGAAGTTTTTGGAGAGAATTTTTTTCCATCTTTCTAAAAAATAAGGATTAAAAGGATGTTTAGCAAACTCTTGGAGATGCTCTTATATCGTCGAGCCCACTACTAGCCGAGGCGAAGCTGACACCCGACGCGAGCCGGTGGATGCTGTGGTCGGGGTCGAGGTACGCCGGCACAGCGGGAGGCAGGCCGAGCCCTTGGGAGACGTTCGGGCCTGTTCGCTCGGAGGAATTCTGGAAGGAATTTGGATGGTTTGGAGAAATGCTGGAGGAATTTGTGAGAGAAAAACACTGTTCGGATGAAAAAAGAAGCGGATCAAGCTAGATTTAAGGGCACGCGAACGGGGCCGAAGTTGGCGGCGAGGCGGCCGTTGGAGAAGCGGCCGGTGGCAACCCCGCCGGCGAAGTCCCGGCCGTAAGTCATGTAGTTGCCTCGGAGGAGTGTCTGGATGAAGTTGTTGTTGCCAGTGTCCGCGGTCGAGTCGCCGAACACGATCACCGCCAGGACCCTGCTGTCTGCCGCGGCGCCGCGGAGGAGTTGTAATAACAGCTGCATTGCCAGGAACATGTCCAGGAACACCTTCGTCGTGGCGAGAAGGGATGGCATCGTGCGTGCTACCTATGCTCCAACATGAAATAGGTGGTGATTAGTACTTGATTTGTTGCAGAGGGTTGTTGCTCATTTGTGGTGGATTTATAGCTTTGTCCTCGCAGTGCGCAAGGAGCCGAGGACAATTATAGGTGCACAAGTTCGTCGGCCAGTGCTTTCGATTTTGGTTGGAACAGCTTAGGCCGGCACGCCAAATGATGGGACGGTGGCCGTGCTTCTTGTTCATCCATCCGGCTGTGGCGCGCGCGGCTGCTGCATGCACCCTCTCTGCTGCAGACTTCTCTGTGCATTTATTTGATCCGAATTCTCGGTGCAACCCGTCGCTTCCAAACAGTCTTCAAGATGGACCTGCAGGCTGCTACAGTGGGTGTCGTTTATTATACATGTCCAATAGGCCCGGTTCTTAACGGGGGCACGAGTCACAACCCGAAGAGGCTCGTGCCCATGCCGGTCCGGCCCACGGCCTGTGCTTGGGCGGTTGGGCCATACCCCCAACACACTTGGCCGGCAAGAGCACAGCCCGATAAGGGGGATGGCCTGCTAAGGCCCACCCCAACGGTCACAAGGCCTAAGCGCCTAGCAGGCCTCCGTCTTCCCGAATGTTGCGGCTTGGCCCAATGGTTGGTTGGCCAGCCGTATTACCCTGTCCCGTGTATAAAAGCAGAGGCACCAGGGGAGGGCCAAACCCTAGCGCCCTCCCCTCGGCCTTCCACTCCTTTTGCTCGCATCATCATCGCCTTCGCTCGTCGCTCTCTTCCTTGCCCTCTCGGATCTCGATCTCGCTCCTTATCTCTTGCTCATCCCTAACAATGTTGTAATCTAAATGGACTAGAGAATTAGGAATGGGTCCACTAACACATAAATAACTCATCCAAAAGCACAACCGTTCACCTTCTCACCACTAACATTTTTTTATTTCTTATGGGTAGTCCATAGCCTTATGTGTGTCTTTTGCTATGGACTAGTTCCACAATGTTTTAGCTAGTTTGTATAAAATATTTTAAGTCCATAAGCTGCTTTTTTTAGCACATTGTGGTTGCTCTAACACCTTATCCTAGAACTCGTTGCTGAATAGTACTAGATTATAGAATTTCTTGTCCATGGTTTCCTTTGACCACTTAATGTCCTCCCATTCTTTAGAAATAAACATAGCCTTGAGCTCAATCCTCTTCTCATAAAGGCTCTTTTAAGGGGGTGTTTGGTTGCCCCTCCTAAATTTTAGTCGCTGTCTCATCAGATGTTTGGACACATGCATGGAGTATTAAATATAAACTAATTACGAAACTAATTACATAGTTTGTGACTAATTTGCGAGACGAATCTTTTGAGCCTAATTAATCCATGATTCTACAAGGTTTTGCTACAGTGAACATATGCTAATGACGGTTAATTAGGCTTAAAAAATTCGTCTCGTGGAGTACTGATGGATTATGTAATTTGTTTTTTTATTAGTATTCGAACACCCCATGCAACATTCTTCCGACACACCTCATGAAATTTAGTAGCTGGATCCAAACACCCCTCAAGTTCAAGCAGCAAGTGGTGTCACTGAACCAAGTTTGAAGAAAATTTCTGTTTCCTCCTTGATAGCGCTCATTTGGCTTGGGCATAATGCTTTCAAGCATCAGGTTTAATTTTTCCAGGCTCTAAATTGACTCCACAGGAGCAAGAAAAGAGTCAACGCCAGCTGCCAGCATATGGACTATTCTCTTTTTCTTTCATCAAAGATGATAGATAGTTCAAGGACTGGGTTGGCCAAACCGCAACATCAGGGGGCCAAATTAGGCATCGCTCCCACCAAACTTCCGTGATTAATTTGGCTATCCCACTTTGTTTTTTAACAAATGAAACCATGTCCAAAGCTTCTTTTCTCTAATTTGGAAACTGGTGGTTTCATTTTCGCTACTGTAATCTATAATACATTCTAACGTTTCAGAAGTTTGGAGCTACTATTTCTATTTCTAACGAAAGTATAATAATCATGAATGCAATAACCAAATCTGACTACAAGCATTCAGATTTCAGACAAACATAACGAAAGTAACAGAGTTCCAAAGTCCTAAAGCCAGCAACGCCTAAGAGTTCACAGACCACAAAAACATACCAAACCATGCATCATCCTTTTAAGCTGATACATACAAGGCCATTGAATATCGCCAGAGATTAGTAGCTGATGTTTCCATCACTTCCCTCGGACTCATCATCTTTCAGATTACCTTTGACCAGCCGTGGCCTCTTCTCTCGTTTTGAGCATGAAGCACCAGACAACGTCTTCCTTTTGATAGAGTGACTTGGTGCTTCTTCATCACTTTCTTCATCGGATGTCACATACTCTGCCTCGATAAATAATTTATTTGCCAGCATCGCTAGACCTACTCCATCTCCGCTTCTCGCTCGTGCCATCAGCAAATCCCTATTATCCTGTCGTTGGGCCTCAAAGGGAAACATGCCCACCAGCCATTCAAATGGTTCGTCGTCACAGGGAAGGTACGCAAGTACATGATCTCTATCTCTCATTTGAGCTTTCCCTTGTATCCTTCTGTTGACGGTCACAAACATTGAATCCTCAAATTGCAAATTTTTAATCCAAGATGGCTTTTCTTTATGGATCTGAAAAGGAACAGAGAATAGTGTAACAGAATTTCTTATTAGCCTTTTAAAAAATGTCTGAGTTACACAAATGAAATTATGATAAGTTGAAGAACTGATGGATGAATGTTTGAGACTAGCTTATCACTATGTTACCATTTCAATCCAACTTGGCTCGTAGGCCAGTGAGCCACAGGTTAACCTCAGTATCCTCAGTGCCATAGCACTCAACTCCTTTGCTGTACCATCATGTAATTGCCACCAGGAAACTACATATAGGACAAGAGTTAGCTTGTATATCATACTAAAGAAGACTACACTGTGAACCTTGACAAACAAATTAAAAAAATGCCTAGATGTTCTGTCCTGCAAGAAAGTTACCTGGGTCAACATCCATCCGAGTACTAAAGGCATGAACCATTCCAAAACTCTGTGAATCAGTGCTGTAAAGCTTCAATTGATGCACAATTTTCTCTTGTGTAGACTCATCTTGGTACATCTTACATGCACACTCAAAAAGTGCATCTCTGAATATTTCTGTATTTTCAATTTCATGTCTGTTTTGATAGTAGAACGAAGGATTCAAATAATAAGCAGCTAAGTGCAATGGTTTCATCATGTACAAATTTATTCTAAAATCTATATGGTGCCATACTGGCAAATAGTGCTCTTCCTTGTTTTCAAAGCGGAAGGCAAATTCCTTTTTTGCGTTCATAAGTTCACCATATATGTATCCCATAGAGGGTCGGCCACTCCCCATCCTCCTCAGAACCTCCACTAGTGGTTCAAAACTATTTATAGCATATAGCACATTATGCCAAAACTCATTGCTCACTACTAAATTATAGAATTTCTTGCCCACTGCTTCCTTTGACCATTTGCTGTCCTCCCATTCTTTAGAAATAAACATAGTCTTCAATTCAATCCTTTTATCATAAAGGCTCCTCAAGTTCAAGCAGCAAGTGGTGTAATAGGTTATCCCAACATGAACCAAATCCTGCTGGTTGGTGAACTTGCGGGTCATGTCCAGCAAATTTGTCTGTGCATAAATAAAAGCTGTGAGTGATCTTGCTTTAGCGATTGTTTTCTTGATTAAACAAATATGCCCTATGTCTTCAAGCATCATATCAATGGAACTTGCAGCACACTGAGTCCAAAATACAT